AACGAAGCCCTGCCTGCTCCTGTGTGCGACACAACGAAGCCCTGCCTGCTCCTGTGTGCGACACAACGAAGCCCTGCCTGCTCCTGTGCCGCACGTACACTCTTTGCCACGCTGAGCCCCCGTCACAGCCGCTGCGTCGGTCCCTCTCGTTAAGGGTCTTCCCCCTTTTCCATGACCCTCTGCTTCACTGAGCATGATACGTACCCTCCTTTAGGGACTGGTCCTTCCTGAAAACATTCCAGAGTACGAGAGACAAAGTCTGGCCTTTCTCGCTTCTAAGGAGCATTCTGGCTGTACTTCTTCTGAGACAGACCAAAGAAGAAATAGGAATAATTAGCTGTTCTCAATTTAGAATATGTATGTATATTCAGAGTTCATAGTAAAGATGTGAGAAGTCTCATTATGTTTCACCCAGACTGTTTTTAATCACTTAATACTAAGAATCTTTATTCACATTTTTTAAAAACAGATGAGCTCCAAAAGGAAATGTTGGATGATGTGCAAAAGAAATTGATGCACTTAGTGAACAGCACGGAAGGAAGAGTGGATAAGTATGGCCGCGCCTTGTAGCTTTTCTGTCATTGAGAGGGATGGCATTTTTGGTAGAAACAACTTTGACATGCACATTTGTACATGGTTTAATGTTTTTAAGCCTTTATTTTTCCTTATGTAGTGATGAGCTCTAGGGAATTGTAATGAAGGGTCAACAGAATAACTTGCTCTTCCTTTCCTTTGGTTTTTTACATTGCTATTTCCCAACACATACTATTTTGCTTAAAACAGTATGGAAGATTTAAAACATCATCCCAATATGAAGTGCTTTAGCATATCATAAAGCTTAATCTTAACCTTTTAAAATGTCTCTTACTGTCCTTAAGTGAACCTATCATCTTGCTCAAATGAATTAGGTCTGAAACCTAGGTGTTTATGTATCATTTAATATTTAAAAAGTTATTAATAGCAAATTAATTTTTCATGTGAATGGGGAAATCTGAGTGTAACAATAAAGCACAAGAACCATCAACACCATTTAAAGTGGGGAGGGAGGAAATCTGATGGGTTTCCTTAAGGTGAACACCATGAATGCACCATCAGAGTTGATTATCTGATTGAAGAAAACGAGGGGCTAGTAAGTGATGTTTTGAAAGGTACACTTCCTGGGTTGTCTGAAGTACTTTTAGAGTTGTCAGGACTAAAAAAAAAAAAAAAAAAAAAAGCTACTTTAAAATATTTTATTGTCTTTGAGAAAACACCCTTGTGTGACTGTTGTGTGCAGTGAGTGTTGGGATATCCTGAGGTGGACTGAGCTGTTTCTCCTTTGTTTTCAGAGTCCTGATGAGAAACCTCTTCATTGGACATTTTCACACACCAAAAAGTCAGCGTCAGGAAGTCCTCCGGTTAATGGGAAGCATCCTGGGTATTAAAAGGGAGGAAATGGAGCAGGTAACTGAGAGGTGGAAGCCTTTCTCAGTATGTTTATAACCAAGGTTGTGGCATCACTGAACACTGCTTCCTTTACTGTCTATTATACAATTTTTACTGATACCATTTTCTCAGTCATGTGGAAATGGAGTCATGTCATACTCTAGGGAAGAGGATTTGTTCAGTTGGTTTGTTAGTGTAATCTCTTGTAACTTAGAAACCACCTCCCATATCAGGGTGCTTCGATTTTGCGACATGACAATCCCCAAAACTTTGATTGCGATACTGCTTGAGATGACGTTTCGTTGTCTTCATAGCCATTATCAGTGGAATATATCTACTCAGAACTGGACTTGAAAAGGATGGTTTGCTACTATGAAATCATATAAAAGTAGTTATTTTTTGTATTGATAATATTTTTCTGATTTAAAATAATCTTTCAGTTGCTTCATGAAGATCAGGGTGGTGTTACCAAGTGGATGACTGGGTGGCTTGGAGGAGGATCAAAAAGTGTCCCCAACACACCTCTGCGACCGAACCAGCAGTCTGTGTTTAACAGTGTAAGAGCCGATTCCGTTCTTGCCGCGTAGGGATGGAGGAAGGGCCACACGTGCTCTGATTTGCAAATATCGCAGAAGGTTCTTTAGGTGATTCTATACAGCCCTTTTATTTTGGTGTTGTGGAAACTGACATCCAGAGAAAGGGGATTCACTTAATGATAAGAAGCCAGTTTTAATTAAAAAAAGAAAAAAGAAATTTCCACAATGGCTTCTTTTTTTTGTCTGTCTTGCTACTAAATACGAGATTCTAAAAGACCAAGGCTTTATTTTATTCACATATGTGTGTGTGTGTGTGTGTGTGTGTGTGTATCTGCCTAGTCACTGTGCCAGGAACTCTGGTGGTGTAACGCCTAAGGCACTTGACTGCTAACCAGAAGACTGGCGGTTCAAACCCACCAGCCTCTCCTCAGAAGGAAGATGAGGTAATCTACTTTCGTGGTGATACCACCTTGGAAACCCAAGGAGGGGTCACTTTGAGTCGGATCCAACTCGACAGCATCAAATTTGGTTTTTTGGTTAGTACTGTGCCAATGCTTACTGAGCACTTGCTGCGTACTAGACTGTTCTAAGCTTGAGAGATGCAGCAGCAAACCAGACAGACAAGGGACCTGCCCTCGGTGAACTTACATTCTGTTATAAACTTGTAAACACAGTGTCTGGTGTATGGTAAACTTCAGACAACTGTTAATTGACACGAGTAACTCTATGAGTTAGACTGTGGAGTTCTGTTTTTTACTTCCTTTCTTATTTTTTAATGAAGAGAGAATTGAGGATAGATAACTTAGCAGAACTGGTTAGTTAAGGATAAAACCCAGAGTTACTTTACTTGGATCACATAAAATTTAAAGGAACTATCTACATTATGTTATTTTAATCTGGGTAATGTTACTGGTGATCTTTTGCCTTGTTTATTAACTGAGTGTTACTTTAGAAAAATATAAGGCGCTCTGGTGGCATAGTGCCTAAGGCATTTGACTGTTAACCAGAAAGTTGGTGGTTTAAACCCACCAGCCAACCAGCCACTCTGTGGAAGGAAGACTAGGCAATCTATTTCTGTAAAGACTTACTGTCTTGCAAACCCAAAGGGGGCTGCTGTGAGTCGGAATTGACTCAATGGCAGTGAGGTGTTTTGGTTTTTTTTTTGGTTTTAGGAAAATACAGCTGCTACTTGCTTTTCTTTGATATAGTTTTTCAAGTCCATTAAAATGATTTAAAACTTGATGTCTTGAGTGCCATTGATAGCAAGAAATAAAAGGTTTGTCAGTCGGCTAACTTGATTATAAGATATTTGCAAAGAGTTATCATTAGAATATTGACTGAAAGTCTTAACTGTAAAACAGAGATCCCAATGACGTGATTAAGTTTTGAATATTTATTTAGAATAACCGGTACCTTTTTTTGGTTGTAGTGAATATAATTGTATTATCCAGCTTAAGCATAACCAAAATGTTTTTTTTTCAGTCTTTTTCAGAACTTTTTGTTAAATTTCTAGAAACAGAATCTCACCCATCTGTTCCACCACCAAAGCTTTCTGTTCATGATATGAAACCTCTCGACTCACCAGGAAGGAGAAAACTAGCTACAAATGAACCAGAAAGTTACACAGGTAATTTCAAAAACTGAATAATTAATGAGTATACTTCACAGTGATACTAACTAAACTTTTAGTGTTGTTGAATATGTGTGATGACTTTTTCCAAAATTCCACTAAAGCATCCGATTTTGGCTTCGTATATTCTTGTTGTAATCAAATATTTAATTAGATTAATTTAAACAGTGTGAAATATTTTCCCTTTGTATATCAGAATGATATTTCTTTCTCTGCATCAAAACAGAAAAACTCATTGATGTCAAGTCGGATCCGACTCATAGCGACCCCTCCTTGGGTTTCTGAGGCTATACCTCTACAGAAGTAGATTGCCCAGTCTTCCTTCAGAGGAGTGGCTGGTGGGTTTGAACCGCCGTCTTCCTGGTTAGCATTCAAATGCCTTATGCACTACGCTACCAGAGCTCCTTTTCTTTGCATAACCATGTTGAGTTATTTTTCTAAAAGTGGTGGCGAATTTGTCAAACCTTTACTTGTAAAACCTTTTCCCTAAATTTCCCTGCTAAATTTTGTGAAAACTTGGAAACTTTTCTGATTTTTTAACAAGTATAAATGATCCTGCAAACCCTTTTCCTTGGCACACGGGGCGATAGCCTGTTGAAGCACATCCCGGGGCTCAGTGTGGTGGGGCTGCTCTTTCTCTCCTCCTCCTTGCTGGCCTCCACTCTGTCTGTTACCAAGTCATGGGCCCAGCTTGATCTGAGCTGATCAGAGACAAAACCCAGGCGTGGTTTGAGTTTATATGGGGTTCGTTTTTAATCTGGACTTGGAAGTATGTAGTAAGGGTCAGCGTTTACTAGAGAGTTTGGAAAGTTGTCATTCAGGGAAAAGCACAGCTTGGGAACCTAGGCGTGCTTGATGATAAATAGATTTGATGAATTTGTCATAATGCTTTCTTTGATTTAGGGAGCCTCCTTTTTAATTGAGTTCCCTGTTGCTGAAGTGGCACCTTCAGAGGATTACTTACCTGTTACTATTTGTTGGTGGTTTGGGGCAGGAAGGCAGAATTCTCTCCACAACCTATAGGTGGTGGTGGTTAGTTGCCGCCGAGTCCATTGTGGCTCCGGGCCCTCCACGTGTGCAGAGCAGAAGCTGCCCTCCATCGGTTTTTAGGGAGGTGACCTCTCAGAAGCAGATTGCTGGGCCTTTCTTCTGAGGGAGGTTCAGATGGCAACCTCTCAGCTACTAGTGAAGCACTTAACCCTTTGTGCTACCTGGGGGTGACCCCCAGTTCCACGATACCTGATTCCAAGTACCTGTTTCACTAAAAAGGAATTATGCCAGAATAACAGTAACAAGAAAGAATCTAATCAATTGTTTTCAAACTTTTGACTGTCTAAAAGATGATGAGGCAATGTAATGCATACATTGTTGTTACTGTTTTTAATTAAAATTAATTCTCACCATTGTAACATGGACGCCAGTTTTTTTCATTACAATATCCATCTTTCAGGTATGTTGTTAGAGAGTTTGCCTTGCAACATAGACATCACCTTTAAAAAGCTGTTGTTATGGTAGATGAAGTTTATCGTCTGTGTAACTGGTATATAGGTATAAAGCTGCAGTATTAATGTGTCTAATGAAGTAGTAGATACAAATGCAGAGATCCTTCTCACCCCATTCCTGTGTCATTGTCTCGATCGTCCTCTGTCTTCCTTGTTGGTAGCCCCAGGCCTTCCTTGCTTCCTTGGCTTGAATGTGCTCCTGTAACAGGGTTTTTATTAGAAAGTGTTTGAATTACCAACAGCGGACTTCAGACAGATTTTAGTAATACAAATTGTTTGGAAATTAAGACCTGTTTTGCTCATTTTGAGTAATTAAAGAAGACTTACAAAAAAGGCAAATACCATACTGTGATTACCAACAAGGTAAAGTTGATAGTGTAGTAAACTGATAATTCCTACGTACACAGGGAGTCCCTGAGTTATGAACGTCTGACTTACGTACACCCTGTAGTTATGAACCAATCCCAGTAAAGCCTGTTTTATTGAAAGTTCGAGGTGCATCCAGTGGTTTGTAATAATAAATGGGTACTGCATGGTGATGTGCATCAAAACATACCTTACTGTGCTAAAAATGTTCCAGTGTATCCGTAAATGGTGTTTTTTTTTTTTTTTTTTAAACTTTTTATTGTGATTTGGGTGAAAGTTTGCAGATGTTTAATGTTTTTTATGCATAGAAAGATACCAAACCAAAAAAAAAAAAAATGGAGCTCCGGTGGCACAGTGCCCAAGCCATTTGACTGCTAACCAGAAGGTTGGTGGTTCACACCCACCGGCCACTCTGTGGAAAGAAGATGGGAGATGTAGTCCCATAGATATTTACTGCCTTGGCAACCCAGTAAGGGCTGCTCTGAGTCAGAAAGTAGCACTCATAGAAAGGTACATTATATACTAAGACAAGCACGTGATTGACATTAGATATGAACTGTACCTAACTGTTCTGACTTAAGTACAAATTCGACTTAAAGACAGACTTAGGAATGGAACTTGTGTGTAATCTGGGACTGCCTGTATACCAAAAACCACGCTCACTGCCATCAAGTTGATTCTAAGTCATAGTGATTTCTTTTGGGTTTCCAAGACTATGGATCTTTACTGAAGCAGGCCACCTAGTCTTTTTTCCGTGGAGCAGCTGTTGGGTTCGAACCACCTACCTTTTGGTTAGCAGCCAAATAAATGCCTTAACCACTCCACCAGCAGAGCTCCTTTCTGCCTATACAGAAATGTTAATAAATGAAACAATATAAGCATCATTTTCTTTATGCTGTTGTGAAGGGTTACTCAATAATGCCTGTTTTATCATTTAGAAACAGCGGGCTCTAGAGCTGGTAGAAGAGCAGATGTGAATCCGTTCCTTGCTCCCCGCTCCGCAGCTGTGCCTCTTGTTAACCCAGCAGGACTTGGACTTGGTGGATCTGGGCACCTTCTTTTGAAACCCATCTCAGACGTTTTGCCCTCCTTTACACCTTTGCCAGTGTCACCTGACAACAGCGCTGGAGTTGTGTTGAAAGACCTTTTAAAGCAATAGATAATTCGTAAGCCAGAGACAATAGAGCACTTTAAAGAAATCATGAACACTATGTGTATGTACTTTATCACAAAGTGGCCTTTTGGGAAAAGTCATATATTTGTCTGCCGTTGTACTTTCCTCTAAATTTAATAAAAAATTCTGAATGCTTTTAGAAATTGCAGGTGTCACAGGAACACATGTTTGCTATATGGTGTCCTTTTTCCCTCCTCTGATTTGACCTCATTTAAGGTCATCTGATTTACAAAAGAATCAAAGACAAAATACCAGTAGCTATATGTTCATTTCTTTCATTTCCTTCTCTGATTTTATGAGCTCAATTAAGCTAGAGACCCCTGATTTATGTTTTATCTTGAGAAAGAAAAACAATATTAGTAGTGACTTCCCTGCATAGTATAGAGTTGAGCTGATGCACATACTAATCGTCTTTGCAGAACTTTGTGTAGACAGGTCAAGGTCAAGATTGTCCCTGAGAGGTCTCAGGTGTCCTGAGGTGGAACGCGTATGTGCTCGGTTCTGTGTACTTTCATCACTTGTAGATTGCTGTGATAACCATCACAGTCCAGACACACAGGATTATAGCCACCACCTGCCCTCCCGGTTGTCCATCTCTGGAATTTGACCATCTCAAGACTCCTGTAGCAATGGAGTCACACATACACACCTTCGGAGAGTGACTTTTTCACACGGCTTACTTCTCTTGAGATCTATCCCAACGTTGCATGCATTAACGGTTCCTTTACATTGTGAGGATGCAGCATGACGGTGTCATTCAGTTTTCGGAGCTAAGGTATCTTTTTAAAGTTACCATCTTAAAATGAAATGTTTCCTCACTTAAACAGCTCTCACGTCTGTGTGAATCATGCATCTGTGTCACCGCGGTGAGCAGTCATGCTGCACACGCCACCTCCTGCCTCCGTCTGAGGTGGATCCCTGAGCTGCACAGAGACCGGTGCAGTCACGGCAGGAACATCACACCAGGTGTTCGGAACTGGACAGTCAGAGTGTAGTTCTTTAATTTTAAATAAACCCTTCATAAACAATCCTGTTTTGGAACATAATTATATCAAGATGTTCATATCTGTATTACTTACTGAAGTTGTGCATATAAAAGGACATTTCTTGCAGATTTTATAAATTCCATTACGTGTTCAAGATAGAAACATTGTATAGCAAGGAAAGGTGAAAATGATCCTAATCCAAATATGTAAATAGAGCTAAATTTGGTTGGTTGTAAATTTTGCCATGACTGTATACTTTTTACTGTATTTGGAAGACTGGAAGTCTTTAATTATCTGTTGATAGATGAAACTTGTTTTTCTGAAACATGAAGTAACTGAGACAGTGCTGTCTCTGAACATTACCTGTCTCCTTGGCTAACTCATTTATGATGCCATTCTTTATGTCATGTACTTTACAGGAAGTTATACAGGTTCTATATTAGAACTGTCAAACGGCCTCCTGTTGGTTTTGCCCATTATTTCTCTATGAAAGTGTTACCAGGGTTTTATATGCTCTTTACAAGGATGTGTTCACTGACCATCCTCAGGTATTTGCCACTTGGGTTCCCATTTCATTTCAGCGGGAAGCAGCTGTGATCCCGGCTTCCAGTTTGGGGGCAAGGAGAGACATGTGGTCTTAAATGCTGTCTTGTATCATTTGAGAAGAGATGCGTGGTGGGGACTTAAGGAGCATGTTGACATACTTTAAATGACTTTTAAGAGTGTTTCCTTCCCTGACCAGAATGGCCTGTCCCCTCCCCCCATAGTTTAACATCAGTTTGAAAGCTGTTATGGGTGGATTGCATGTCTAACTGTCACAGCACATGATCCTCCATGGCTGCAATTTAAATAACTATGTGACCTTGTCCTAAAGCTATGAGACCTAATGTTTTATTTGTATCACCATCAAACTATACTGACTGGTACACATACTAAGTGTGTGTTGATTTAAAACCAGATGTAACTCATCGACGTTTCTGAAACTGAGTTGTGTTAGAGGTGACCCGTCTGCTTGAGGAATCTTGTTAGTAAGCAGGGGAAGAACATGTAATTCTGATGTGAACAATAGTGCACCATTGCTAACAGTTACTCCCCTGCTGTACTTTGTACTAACTTTACTCTGCACACTCTGTAAACTCACTCAAATTTGGAGTTGAACTCTGTCTTCACTGCCATGGTTTTCCACCACATTCCTAATTATTTTCAATCTCTAGACTAGAGGAGAAAATTCTTCCAGCCTTTGAATTTGATTTTAGTTTAATCCTGTATCTTGTGGTGGTTTGAGTGTGGGTTCCTGTTATCATTGATTGAAAATAGTAAGCAAGAAGAAACAAACTAAACAACAAAACTATGGAAAAGGGAATGGCTTTCTTGCAACTAGCCAATTAAAACATTAAATATTTGCCCCAAAAGAAAGCTTCCAGTTTATTTTAACTTTGTAATGGTTAATAGGCCAAAAAGAGACTGCTCTCAAAATATTTCCCAAATCAGTAGGTTAAAAAAAAAAAAAATCCCAAAAACAACTATCTTGAGAGGCAGAGAGGTGATAAGATTTATTTAGAATGTGTCAGACTTTAAGCATTTGAATTTCATTTTTAAACTGAATGAAATTTTTATGTCAAAGTATTTAAAAGGTATTCTGTCAAAACAGTTGATACTTTTTTTTTGTAAATATCAAGCATAAGTGATATTTCATACATTCCTATGGAAAAAAATAATGGTACTTTTAATGTTCTGTCATTTGTGATCACTTGTCAGCCTTTACTTTTTAACTTATTGACAAATTGTTGTTTGATTTTTAGGAAAGTAGATGAATATGGGAATAGAGCTAAAGTCAATGCATTTCTGAGTTTCTCAGGAGCAAAAAAATCCCAAATAAAAATGACATGTGAGTTGGCAATGTCTTCATCCACAATAAAGAAAACATTTTCACAAACAGCTGCTGGCTTTTTCTTTAGAAGGGGGAGAAATGACTTACACATGTTGTTTATAGCAGCAGTCGATGAACTACTGCCACTGGTGGCCTTGAGTCTTCGCCGATGTCTGCTGTTTGGATACTGGTGGAGGTTTGGAAATTTGAAGTATGAACAATTTGATAGATGCTCGAGATTATGTATGAAAAGAGGACCTGAGAGGTTGTAGCCAGCCTTTGTTTTGTTTTTCTTCTCAGGTGGTATTAGGCATTGTTGGTCTCTTGATCTTCCTGCAGTATAATTATGTCTTCATTTTTTCTTAGATGAGGAACTTGAGTATTTTTAATTGTTCGTATTGAAAGGAACATGGGTTTTAAAGTTGGGAACTGGATTGGAGTGGCGATTTTGACCCTTTCTGTGTGACTTCAAGAGGAGCCCTGGCGGTACAGTGGCTAAAGCTCTTGGGCTGCCAACCACTCCACAGAGAAGGATGTGGCAGTCTGTGTCCATAAAGATTTGTGGCCTTGGAAACCCTATGGGCACTTCTACTCTGTCCTACAGAGTTGGTGGGAGTCTGAACTGACTTGACAGCAGTGGGTAGGTAGGCAGGTGTGACCTTGAACAAAATCACTTTGTGAGCCTCGTTCTCATCTGTGAAATGAGATTAAAGCCCAAGAAGTAACAGTTGGTAAGTGAATCAGTGCATCATCACCTGTGAAAGCGCTTTATGAAACTTGGGCACCCCTCCTCACTTACTAATGTGGTCAGGTTCCAGAGACCAGGTGGTTACGTGAAAATCAGTGTTTGAGAAAATGGAGGATGACTGCATCATTCCATAGCTGCCAAACCACAGTCATGGCCCAGTCAAGTTGACACAGAACTATTACAGTCAACACGACTCTTTACCTTGCATCTTGGCATTCATTACTGCCAGGGGGACATCATTCATGTGCCAAAGAATTGGACAGTAGATTTTTTACTTTTGTTTTAAATGCAGAATGTTGGATAAGGAGATAGTCAAAAAGTGAGTAGATGTGGTTCTAAACAAATGTAAGAAGGTGTGATTGTTACTGGCCAAGTGTTGTTAAGAACGTCAGAGGGTGAGCTGGGGCTGAGGATGTGTGTTTCTGAAGCTAAGGCGGTTTCAAGAAGGTAACAGTTGCCACTGAGCCGACTCCAACTCCTGGCGACACTCTGTGTGTCAAGAGTAGACCTGTGTCCCGTAGGGTTTTCAGTGGCTGATTTGTGGGAAGTAGATGGCCAGGCTTTGTTCTGAGGTGTGTCTCAGTGGACTTGAACTTCTAGACTTTCACTTGGCAGCCAAGCACATTAACTGCACCATGCAGGGAGTCTTCAGGAAGGTAAGGCAAGGTCATGAGTGGAGTGCTGCTGGTGAGAAGTTTACAAAGAATCTGTTGGGTTTAGGGCCCGTGAGGAGGTGGTTGGCTTTGACTAGCGCCATGTTGGTGGAGTGGTGGAATAAAAGCCATATTGTTAAGTGGGTGATGAGCAAGTGAAGACAGTGTTTGTAAGCAACTCTTAGGAGAAACGAGAACGTGACGGAGGAGAGGGCATTGCTGGAGAGAAGAGACACGGAGGGAGAGTTGTTTGAAGCTGAGAGACTTGCGTGCATGTCAGTGCCCACAACAAAGACGTGGTTTTTAAATGGAAAAGCTGAAGACCGTGGAGAGAGGAGAGTTCCTGAGAACAGGGAACAAATAGGATCAGAGACAGACAGAAGGGCTGGCCTTAGAGGAAGGACTGGGACAGGAGGAATGAAAGGGCAATGCAGATAGCAGTGGCTTGGGTGGAGGGAAGTTGGAGTTTTCTTCCATGACGTTGGAGGAGGCTTAGCTGCTAGAATTGAGAGAAGGATATGGGCTGAGAAATTCACAGTCACATGGGGGAGAGAGACATGTCCAAGTGACTGGAGAAGGTGGGAAGTACTGGTGAAGGCACACATCCACTGCTGGGGTCCCTGCCCTGGGTCCGGCAGACAGATGGGAGGAGGAGGAGTGGTTGTTAACTAGATCTTGAAGGAAGTGACATTTGACCACGCCTGAAGGAAGCAAACTAGGAAATTAAATGTCAGATAAAAGTCAGAGTTCCTGCCCTAACCAGTTCTAGTGGAAATACAAAAAGTTGTTAACCCGAACCTTGTTTTCCTGTCTCTGGGACGTAGGTCATGTGTTTTACAGCACATTATTGTCATAATTTAATAGATCCAGTAAATTAATAATG